GATAATAACATTACCAAAAAGTTATAGTGATGATTTTTCAAAGTTTTAAAGATTGGTATCACATTTGGTGTGTATACCAGTAACTATATTTTCAAAAGACCTGAAGAAAAATGGATGCCATTGATATATTTATTCAACTTAAAATGCGGTGATCCTCACACAGCGCGTGTTCGAATTTCATGTAAATAAACAATGTATTGTACACGTGTTGTATACGTCGCTATAAGTCCCATATCGAACAGGACGCGGCGTGTCGACTACCGCCTTATAATCTTTGCAAAATGCCAGAAATTACCAGTTAAAATTTTGAAATGGTTGCCAATGTGTAGTACAACACTACATTTAAGGAGTTAACATCAAAATTGATTTACCATAAAAATAATCTCTTCAAACCAATTATTGTTTTGCTCAATGTCTTGCTCATAATGTTAAAATTAAAGGTGAGATATGAGGGATCTTTGTCTGTCAGTGATGATTACTGATACATGTGCAATAATTTGAGTAATTTTAATTCCAAGACTATCAAACTTGAGTATATTATTGTACAGTTTGGTCGTAACCTAGCTCCCAAGCTGACTTTTCATAAAAACTTATAATATTTTAAGTCAGTAACATTGCCATAAATAATTTTCTTATTTTGTTTATTGCATCTTTGGAAATTGATATTTCTTTCAGTATATAGCATATCAATGCAAATATAATATATCAAGTTAGTAAGAAGATTTTTAAAAGAAGTTAAAATCAAGTGTTTTTTTTGTGTTGTTGGAATGCCATGAAGATGAAATGTGCGACATGCTTAATTGTTTTTTTGTGTTATTTTCATTAAAAATTGAAATTTGTCAATATTTGTTTTAATTTCTTTTGGGAGTATCATATGTGAGAACAAATCTTGTCATAATGTCATGTATTTTGAACAAACTTTGAGTAAATCTTCTTCATTTTCTACTTTATGCGTATTACAATGTAGACAAATTAGATCTTGTAATGTTGTTTTGGGGCCTCTGTATCTGCCTGTTTCTTATACCAATCATCCTGAATTTGGTTAAACTTATTTTTTATTTAGTATTTATGCCAGTCGATAAATATTGTTCATAACAATCATCTTGCTTAAACTTGGAATATGTAATTCAGATTGATGGTTCAACGTTAATTTCAGCTTTAATTATGACAAATACTTTACCTTGAGGAATGAAAGAAACACTACAACACTTGCAAAGAATCATCTAGCAAGATTTCAACTTTTTTTTGACCCAATTATTCAAATCAATGTGACAAATAGAAAGACTTTTACTGGAATCAAGTTCACCAAGAAATACAGTTCGATTTATTTCACTGTAAGGCAAGGACTGTTGTTCAACTCCTTGGCACCAATCCAAATATATTAAGATACAAGCCGAAAGCATTTTGAAATGAAATATGTTAGAAACCAGGTTACGCCCTACAGCAATAATAATTTGACTACCGGTATTTGTCAGGCAAGTCAATGTATTGTTAACAAAACATGAAATTTTTGAATAGGGTGTGCTGAACGAGAAAGCATTGTGGTTAGTTCTATCAGGAATAAAAACAACTATAGGTGTGAACTGCATATGCAGACAGGTACAGACACCATTAAAAATAACACAAAGGCACTCGGCCGTAAATAATGCATTGTTCAGTAGCAATGCAGACATCTTGGTTGAAAAGGAATTTAAGACAACGAACAGAATTGACACCAAAATAAAATATTGGTGGTCATGTAGTCAATTAATTTTGAGTCCATTATTATAACAGCTATTCACTGTGATGTTTATGTATTGGCAATTAATTAAACTTATTTTATGGATAATTAATACAATACCAATATTGACACCAAAATCAAATATTGGTGGTCATGTGGTCAATTAATTTTGAGTCCATTATTATAACAGCTATTCACTGTGATGTTTATGTATTGGCAATTAATTAAACTTATTTTATGGATAATTAATACAATACCAATATTGACACCAAATCAAATATTGTTGGTCATGTGGTCAATTGATTTTGAGTTCATTACTCTAACGACTATTCATCATAATGTTTATGTTTCTGAAATAAATTAAAGCATGAGGTTAACTTTGTTTGATAGATAATTATCGTGACAGCTTGTATGTCACGTCATGTAGTTTATTGAGCATGCACATACCCTCACCCTCGAACATAAAAAACTGCCTCGAGACATGTCTCTCGGTTGCTATGGTAAACACAAAGGTTCTTATTATGGACACTCTGTTGTATCAGAACGTAAGTGAGGTTATTGATTGGAATTACTACTTTAGGGGATAAGTTGCATTGTTATATATCAACAATAGCAGTGATTGCTGGGAATTACTCCTGAATACTAGTAATACACATTGTATGTAGTCATGACTGATTGTTGTCATGTATTATCTCTTAATTTGCTACAAGGTATAAGTACCAGCACAGCACAGTGTACATTGTTACAAATCTACTAAATAGTTGCCATTATCATGCAAGTCCAATTCTTGTGGATGTTTACTTAATGAACTTCAAATTCATGTGAACTCTTCAGTATTTATTACACCTACTTGGGACATGCAGTCTACGTTTAATAACAATTCTTCCGAAAATTTGGCTGCTATGCTTATATGTACATCCACACGTGTATCTCAGACATGCGTGCATTTAGCTTGTTTAAAACTATGAATAGTAATAGACAGACTAGCAATGTGGCATTGACTTTCATATAATGCATGCCACGTTTGTTTTTAGTTATTAACTTTTTAATCACATGAATAATTCAATGAAGTTGCACACTTATGGAAGATCTTGAGATATACAATATACTTTAACATATTCTTGTGGGATGCATGCTGCAAAAGATTCCTCTGAGACATTACTAGTGATGCATGAGAGGTCACAGTTGTCTAGGCATCAACTTGTGTATATTTTCAATATATTTGCCTTATATACCAATCATCATCTGGCAATCAGAACCAGAAATAGAAATGAACGTTTTCTTTCATGTGGGTATCCGATGTTCATTCAAAACTACCACAGAAACAACAAAGTTGCCAAACAAGTAAACATTGTCGGTGTACAAACCTTCAAGGAAAAAGTTGGAAAATGCATCTGGCAAAAGTCAAAATCTCTAGAAATATTAACTTATTATATATATATTATATATTATATATCGTGGCTGATTTTCATAGCAATCGCATCGTGGCTGTTTTCATAGCGATCGCATCGCGGCTGATTTAAGCTGGACATATGGCAGTACCTTTTAATCATAACAAATCTGTCATGTACGTATTCACAATGGCACATGGAATCTTGATGATCTTTATTTTGCATATTGGATTCAAAATGGCCTAGTGATGGTTGTTTTATTTTACTGAATGCTATTTCGGAGCCTGTCCCTTGAATGCCTTGAACTTTCACACAAACTTCATACATCATGTCACATGTATGCACATGCCTTTGTTTTATTATCCAATTAAAGATACTGTAGAATACTTTATTTTCTATTGGAATTAATTTTCACTGCGGGAATGATCCAGTGAAAATAGAATCCAGCGGATATACAGTTGTTCCTATATTTGATCAGTGAAATCAGTGAAAATAAATTCCATACAAAACAACCAGAAAGTCTTTTCAGTGAAAATTAATTCCACCTAAAATAAAGTATTTTACAGTAGCCAGATGCCATTCATTTTAAACCTTAAAAATGATCTTGGTATGACAATGACAACGTAGTATTCAATCCTGGTGTATACATTTGTGAATGACATTTTGGTTTTTTATTAGGATTCAAAATCATGCATTTCCACCATTCAGTGAAACAAAGTTTACTGATTCACACTATCTTCTCAATTTTACATTATGTTCATGAATAGGCATCAGCGATTTTGGAAAACTTAATTTGATTCAGGTGACTGGTAAGACTGAAACATTCCGAAAATGAATTTTAAATCAGATCAAAGAAAGCTTAGAAAGAACTCCTGTGTCCTGAGAGTATTGAAGACACATTAAAAATGAATTCAAAATTACTTGTACTTGAGATATTGATGGAATAGCTGAAAACCAATTATGTAAATCAGGTAACTGATATGAACAGATTTAAGTGTAAAACTAATAAGGTCTGCACAATGTACCAAGTTTCATTGAAATGTGATTAGAACCCAAAAAATATTAATTATTATGCTAATTAGAGAGTTAATATGAACAGATTTTTACCCAAAATTAATCAGACTGTCTATTGTCCTAGAGCATTTATGTACCAAGTTTTATTCAAATGTGATGATCAATACTTGAGATATCAGTATTAATTATGTTAATTAATTGATTAAAAATATACATATTTACCAAAAACTAATATGGTGTATAGTCCTAGGTTCATTGAAATGTGATGGGTACTCTTTAAAAGTTTCATTGAAATCCAATGAGTGGTTTGTAGACATCAGTGCAACAGCCATAGAACAGCAAAAAATTAACTAATTATGCAAATTAGGTAATTAATAGGCACAATTATTTATCCCAAAATTAATCAGGTCTCTGCATAGTCCTAGAAAATGTAGCAAGTCTCATTGAAATGTGATGATTAGATGATTAGTACTTGAGATATCAGGTGAAAAGCTGAAAATTAACTAATTATGCTAATAAGGTGATTAATATGCACAAATATTTACCCAAAAACTAATTAGGTCTCTGCACAGTCCTCAAGTAACTATGTACCAAGTTTCATTGAAATGTGATCATTACTACTCGAAATATCAAAAGCTGAAATTTAATTAATTATGCAAATTAGGTAATTAATATGTACTGATATTACCCTAAACACTACCAGGTCTGTGCAGTGTCATATGACATCTATGTACCAAGTTTTATTGAAATGTTATGACTAGTACTTGAGATATCAGTGGAAAAGCCGAAAATTGATTAATCATTATGTAAATTAGGTTATTAATAATATTAACAGATTTTTACCCAAAACTAATCAAATCTGCACATTAGTTCAGAGCATCCATGTGCCAAGTTTCATTGAAATCCAGTGAGTGGTTCTTCAAATATCAGTGGAACAGTCATGGAACAGCTTGAAAACAGTTAATTATCATTCAAATTAGATAATTAATATTCATAGATTTTTACCCAAAACTAATCAAATCTGCGCACTAGTTCAGAGCATCTATGTACCAGGTTTCACCAAAATTTGATTAGTGGTTCTTGAGATAACGGTGGAACAAAATAAGTTACATACATACATACAGACATACAGACAGGGTAACTGCAAGGACTCCCTTTTGTGCTTTGCACACGGGAGTCGAAAACTTATGAAACATAACATTGATATGCACTAGGTATTTTCTGTGACTCAAATAAATTGACAACATTTTTCGCAACTACAAGATTGCCCGTATGCCGATTCATCGTATGTGGACGAAGCTTTGGATCAGTGATGTATTGTACAAATATATGCTGTACTTCAATGGTACACAAAATCTCCCAAAAAGTCATGAGTTGAAATGACTTTGCATCTTATTACTTATCACAAGATAATGTACGTTTTTCAATTTTTTTTCAATCTTAGGAATGGTGGAAATTGTTCGAAAAGTATCATTAACGAGAATCATGGGTCAAATGAGAAATCTGTTTCCTGATGAGTATGATTTTTATCCTCGATCATGGATTCTACCCGACCAGTACCACCACTTTGCAGCAGAAGTTGCGAGCATGGCCAAAGAAACCCCGAAACAGAAACGTTTTTTCATCGTCAAACCAGATGACGGGGCACAAGGAGAAGGAATCTATTTACTAAACAATCCTCAGTCGATTACATCAATTGGGATGGTTCGTTCGGCAGTCGTACAGGAATATATCTCAAATCCATTGCTAGTGGAGCGCAAGAAATTTGATTTGAGAATCTATGTGGTGCTGACGAGTCTAGATCCATTGAAATTCTACCTATGCAAAGAGGGAATGGCCAGGTTCTGTACTGAACAATACCAAGCTCCGTCCATGAAGAATTTACATCATACGTATATGCATTTAACGAACTATAGTTTGAACAAACATAGCGATAATTTCATTCATGCTGATAACGTTGCCAAAGGTAGCAAACGAACCATGACCAGTATGTGGGCTTTGCTCCAGGAGAAAGGAGTCGATATTTCCCAGTTATGTAAAGATATTGAGAAGGTCATCTGTAAAACAATCCTTGCGTTAATACCAGAGTTGAAGGTACAAATGCATGCAGAGCTGTCGTCAGGAAAGTCAATGCCATCGTGTTTTCAGGTATTAAAATTCAAATTTACTACCTTTTATTTCTTTATTTAAAGACAAAACTTAATGACATATTTTGTCTTTATTTGTTTTGTTTTTTTCAAGGGTTCATTCATAAATTACTAATTGTAAGGGGGAAAACTTTTTCACAAATCTTATTCACATTAATTAAATTGTAATATTAAACCAGTGAGTTGACACTTTTTTTTGCCCATCATTTCGGCTATCTGTCGTTAAATAATTAAATTGCTAAATATTGCATTTCAACTAATTATTTAATCGTTTCACCACCAGTTCCCCCTTTTCATCACAAATTCACAAAATAGTCCTGTTTATAGTCTGCATTTTCATTCAGAAGATTGGGGCAAAAATAGCCAAATTTTTTAGTAAAAACTGAAAATTTACTTAAATTTTGTCTGTTGGCTCAAAAATTAGGGTTCATTTCCAGAAACTGTCGGTCCATGCTACATATAGTATGTGTAAACAACAATTGCTTGTTCTCACAAAATCCGAACATGTGTTTGCATGTGGATACATGTATCATAACATTTTAACATAAAATAAAAACATATTATGTAAACACAAGAATGCTTTTATTATTAATATTATAAGCTTTTCATATTGAAAACTGTTATTGGTTTCTCAAATGAACCAGATAGAAATTAGCTGAAATTAGGATCTCTCAGCTTGATTAAGTTTTCAAATCAAATCGAATTTTAAAATAAAAATTTAAAAAAACATATTTATAATAATATCATATCATTTCTGTTATTCAGATTTTAGGTTTAGATATATTATTAAGCTCAGATTTAAAGCCATATCTACTGGAGATCAATGCTAATCCGAGCTACAGATTAGACTACGATCACGAAGTTGCTCCCGGTGTATACGAGAACTTGATCAGTCCAGTAGATGAAGAGATCAAGATACCACTCGTCAAAGATACTTTGCGACTAGTTAAACCAGTGAGAAGAATTACTACAAAGTAAGTGCAGAAACTCTTTGTTAATAATATCATACACTGTTGGAAAATATTTATTTTATTTATTTATTAAACTGTAAAATACTTTTGCTTGGAATTTATTTTTCGCTAATTTCATTGATTCAGTTAAAATGAAGTGTTTTAACAGTATTCAAAACAAGAACAGCACATTCTGGCCAGGTCTGATTTCACAGTGGGTCCTAACATAGTCCAATGACTTCACAATACAGAACAAATAATAATAATAAAAAAAACATTGAAATATGTATGTAAACAAAATTCAGTAATAGAAAAACAGCAAAAATACATCAAATAGTCAATATTATTTTTTATATATTCACATATTTTTTATGAAATCTTGATGATCTATATCTTTGGGTTTACCTTGATTGAATTTGGTGTTGAAACCACAATGTTCAATAATTCACTCATTGAGATTCACTGGTAGTTTATTTCATTCAATCATTAGCTATAATTATTACTTCTGTACTGACTAAGTCTAAGATTAACAAGTCCATGTCCCGGTAACTACTCTAAACTGCTTTAATTATTGAAGAAACAAATTTTCACAAATCTGAGAAAATCATAAAATTTGGCAGCGCTGAAAATTTCTATGGGTTCCTACATACAACACGGAGTGTCATCAACTAAAGCACGGAGTGTCATCAACTAAAGCACGGAGTGTCATCAACTAAAGCACGGAGTGTCATCAAACTAATTTGAAAAAGTAAACTCTTTTAGTAGCAGACTTCCTATGTTTTTACAATTATTTTGTTTAAATATCAGTTATCCAAATTACAAATTCTAATATTTCTATATTAAAGGGTGGTGGTCGTCGCACAGTGCGTCTTCAAATTTCCCATATTGACTTAATTTAATTAATTGATTAATTAATATTTAATTAATGTAATTAATTAATGACTTCCTACCAGGTTAATAGCATAGTTTTGTGCGTCACAACAAATCTCTGCAGTGATGCATCATATATCGACTAAGAGGACACTATATTTGTGGATATTAAAATCGAAAAAAGAAAAATTCATTTACCATCGTTGGTTGTTGTTTCATTGATTCAAACTTTTTGTTTTGTAAATACTATATTTTGTTTTGTTGTCTCTGATTATTTAGGAGTGCCTCTATATCAGCAAGACCAAACAGTACTGACCCCGATGAAATCACAGTTGAAGTGTCACAACTGGATTTAGATGAAAATAAATCACCGAGGCATCGGAAACAAAAGGAATCCTGTCTGGAAGAGTTATTCCCTGCCAAATATGGAGAACAATACGAATTTGTGAGGATCCTGGAGAGGATCGCGTTTCTTTTTAATCACTTCTTGGGAGTACGAGGAGGATTGAGAATGGGAGCGACAGGTTTCAGAACATTTACAAGGTTTGTAATTTGAGGTTACCTTTGTGAGTGCCATTGTCAACTTTTGGCACTATCAACAAAACGATTTTGTAAAGTCTGCTCCTTCCACAAAATATGTTGATGAAAAGAACTTTTTGATCACAAAATGTGAAAAAAAATTCTCTGAGTTTTGGACAGGGAAAATATCTTAAAGGGTTAATATGAGAATATCAGGAATTCTGATACGAGGGGTCTATTTTCTCGCTATGTTTATCGTGTGTGAGTTATATCATTATAAAAGTATGTATTCTGGCACACAAAATAAAAAATCCTCCAAACTTCATAACGTGGCAGATCTGAAAGTATCAAAAGCACTTACACTTACATGATGCATACATTTCAAGTGAAGCGTAGATCCAGCGAGAAAAAGTTTTCTAGGAACCAGGAGTACTCTGATGTGCTTGTACATTTTGTAATTTTCGCTGATAAGTAAAATATGCTAAATATGTAAAATAACAATAAAACTCATTAAATGGTTCATTTATGAAAAGTTGAATATGTAAAATAACAATAAAACTCATTGTTTTTCTAACAAATTTGTCAAATTAAAACACGGTGAATATGCTCAAGATAACAAAATAGTGAAAATAAATGGTTTTACAGTACTCATACTGAGTCTGGACCACTCTTCACTATGATGTATCAAGAAGGTGCACACAAAACTTTTAAAATGGTTCATTTATGAAAAGTTGAGTTACTGGAATAGCTATGAATTCAAGCATTTCGGAACCGGATCTCGGCTGTTTACAGATGGATTTTGTTCAAACTTGGTACATACATTTGACATTATAGGACGATGATGCGCCTGTCATTTTGTTTTTCAAATCGCATCAAATTGACTGACTGGCAGCCATTTTGTTTTAATGAATGCGTTTCTAGTGCTATCTCTGCAATGTTTTGACTGATTATGTTTAAATTTTATATAGTCATTATACATCATGACATAGATATACAGATGTATTGATTTAATGATCCAATTAAAAATGGCCGAATGGTAGGCATTTTTGTGCTAAAAAATCATCAAAAAATTAAGCATTTCTGGCATTCTAGAACCATATCTTGGTCTTTTATGGATGGATTTTGTTCAAATTTGGTACATACATCAGGCATTATGGGTTCCTGATACACTTGATTTTGTTTTTCAAATCAGATTCAAAATAGCTGATTGGTGGCCATTTTGTTTTAATGAATGCGGTTCTTACATGCATTGACTGATTATGTTCAAATTTTATATATTCATTATAAATTATGTCATTAGTTGTATTGGTTTGACTATCCGATAAAAAAAATGGTTGCCCGATGGCCATTTTGTTTTAATTAATTATTTTCCGGAGCAATATCTCTCAATATGGACAAGTACTATCAGATAGAAGATGACTGAATGTCAGTCATTTTGTTTAACAAGTTTTAAATAAGATAATTTATTAATTTTATTTATATTTATATTTATAGAATTCATCTCAAACAATGTATTGCGCAGCTAGATGCAAAACTAATTACTAAGTCTCAAACTTTCTCTAGCTTTGAGGATTTTTACTTGTCACGTAGCCTGACACTAGTATGAGTCACGATGTAAGCGATTGCAAATCTGTATGCTGTCAGGACAGGGGTGTGGGGGATCAGAAAGTGATAAACTCAGGTGTGTGTTTTTAATCTGAAGAGGAAACTCAAATGGTTGTCTAGTTTTCAAACCTCAAAGTTTCAATAAACTTCATAGAGCTTAAATTTATATCTCCTCATTGTTAATTAAATAAAAGTTATTTTTACAACCATGATTGCACTTTTATTTGCAGGAGATGTAAACTGTGTACGTTTGGATTAAGCACTGCTTCTGTAGACATTCTATTTATAGACATGGTTAGGAAATGGAATGCCATGAACCCTGATGGAATATCAGGACTCTGCTTTGATGGATTTGTTGAAGCCTTCTCTGTTATCGCCTACCGCAAATTTCGCGGCATCACTCTGCAGGAAAAGGTGGTATCTCTGCTCGATCTGTGCGAGTGTCACCTTAATGCCGGCATTGTCTGGCCACCGCAACGTAGACCGCGTGTACGCAGACTGCCTCGTGTACAAGACAGCAATGAATACTTGAAAGTACGTAAGCAGATGCAAGGTCTGGAGAATTAATAGTAGCTGGGAATAAAAACATTCCATGTATTCATTGATATTATTGAGCATCATTTTGTGGTTTCAGGTTTGTTTTTCACAATCTACATTTATATAGGTCCAAGCAATGTCTCCTTCAATAACCCAGAAAAATGAATTCTTATCAGAATATTGTAAACCACTTTTTGTTAAGAAATATTTTGTTTCATGAATGTTTAATATGGGAAATATTTATATATTTCAAATGACAATTGAAAAAAAATTGACCAATCACGATTTAGCAGATACATATCATCTCTATATAATATCTTACGCTTACATGGCAGTAAATTGTCCAATGATTGAACCGAAAACCACAAGGAATCATGGGTAATTATAGCCATCGCCAGTGAAGCCTTGAAATATTTTATAAATTTTCATAAAAGCTATTTATGCCTTCATGAAATTGAGTGTATCGGTCATATCTCATTATAGATTCACTGAATATTTACAATTATTTAAATTTGATCATTGCCAGAATTTTCCTGCCTATTTTTTCAGTGAAATTTCATGTGACGTAACGCGAAGGTTTATTGGATCGGCAATGGTCTAGAGTCACGTTCCATGGTAAAATAACACGGTAGAGGATTGAAAACGGCAAAAAGTGTCATCACCTCATTTCTGACACTTACGACAATGTCACATAGCAACTAATCAAAATACTAAACACCACTAATACAAACCAATATTACTAATTTGTATTATTCTTTTAAACGAGTTTAAACTTATCAGTTGGTCAGCCATGTACGTGCTATCCTTTCATTTTTTCTACTTTGAGTGGAAATTTGTATGCACAAAGTTTTCAGGTATAATAAGTAGCCCATGCAGCAGAGAGAGAGATGCCATCAAAATAGTTAATTTTACGATGTGCGTACTAATAACAATAGTTAAGACCTAGCATAGACTCAGGGTCTATGGACCTAGAATGAAAGTATAATCCATATTTTTTTTATATCTTAACTGTAAAAAATGCAAATTCAAACATTCCATCTCCGATACATTTTACGAGAATGGCACTTATTTGCTCCTGAAATTAGAAGCTTGTTCGGTTTGGTTTTTATTAAATCTGACAATCACACAATTGTGTGCATATGCTTGGATCTACCGCTGGAATCCTCATATTGGCTAAAATAGTAAAAACAACATCCTTTGTACAATTATAATAAATAGTAAACACATTTTGCATCTGTTATGCAACTAAACATACTATACTAACATTTCTGAATGTAATTTCTATACAAATATGAAAATAAACGCATATATTGATATAAGTAGATAGAGTTTGAAATTAAAACAATAATGACCCATTTTTAAATTGAAACATTAATAAGGTGGTTACTTATTAATAGTGTATATATTAGCTTTTAAACAAAGATTTTTGTATATTGGCTGTTAGTAATATTAAAACATACTGTAGACAGTGAAGGAGTCAATATCAGCTACAGTTTTGATATTTTCTTTGTACCGACCCAAAATGACCTTTGTGATACCAAAATAATATACAAAAGGGAAATATGCACATATGTACATGTAAACAACACCTAGACAGCTAGATATGTACATGTAAACAACACCTAGACAACTGGATACATGTATGTACATGTAAACAACACCTAGACAACTAAATATGTACATGCAAACAACACCTAGACAACTGGATACATGTATGTACATGCAAACAACAGCTAGATATGTACATGTAAACAACACCTAGACAGCTAGATATGTACATGCAAACAACACCTAGACAGCTAGATATGTACATGTAAACAACACCTAGACAGCTAGATATGTACATGCAAACAACACCTAGACAGCTAGATGTGTACATGCAAACAACACCTAGACAGCTAGATATGTACATGTAAACAACACCTAGACAACTGGAACTGGATACATGTATGTATGTACATGCAAACAACACCTAGACAGCTAGATATGTACATGTAAACAGGACCTAGACAACTTAAATCAATAGATTTAAAACATCACTTAATGTTTAATACAAAAATATTCACTGCTACAACATTCTGCAATTTTCTCTTTCAAAATTGTGATTGCCATTCATATTATTCCATTAGTTAACACGATTGTGTTTTTTTATATATTATGTTTCTGAAAACAATTTTTGAAGCGTTCAGTTTCTGGTGACTATTTGGATGTCAAAAAATTGTTTAATTTTTGTTTTCTTTTGAGTTACTCCATTCAAAATTACACACATTACAGGGCCAGATATGCAAATACAAGCCAGGAAAAACTCAGAATAGAGCTGATAGGTTGCAGTGATATACTATAGGATGGATCACATAAACCACACTACCGTTACAGCGAGCCAGCAAACACAGATTTAATTCTAATTGGCCTTTGTGACTTCCTTTTGAAAGGAGCAGGAAACTAATAAATAATTTAGACTTCTCATGCATGTAAAAAAATGTGACCCATTAATGTTAATGATTGTAAAAGTCAGACAAGGTCATCACTAAGGAACTACTTTATATTGAGTGAATAGGCTAGAAATCACTAGCAAGTGAATGTGAAACATGCACTTAAATTTTGTTTGCATGTCAGAAACATTTTACAGAGTCATCACTACTTGGGGGCGGGGGGGCATATTCGATATGGGTCCCAAACATTGTGCTGTCAATTACATTGTATTTATAGTAGAAATTAAACCGGGGGAGTCATCACCTGCGCATGTTTCAGATGGCCATTGCGTGTCATTGTTTACAAACAAGCCTCTACCTGTGAGCCTTTGCGTTTTTAGCGTGTGTTATCATCGCTTGGAACTCAATTCCCATATGTGCACAGGTGACGACCCTCTCGCTTTAAGTGTGAGCTGTTTGACAACTACCACCGACTCTAAGTTGAGCATTTTGATTAAAAGCTTTCATTTTAATTAGAAAATAAGGCTGTTACTTTAATGCATGCCTGTGTCGCTCCTACGTTGTTGTATTAAAAACTTTATACTTTAGAAATTTTTTTAAAAACCTGTAATTACACATTAATACTATTCACACTTATATTTTACCTATCAGGAACATACTAATTAATCAGGTGACAAAATATGCAAATTTTAAGGAATTACATTTATTCAGTGATTGTCTTTGATATCAATGTGGTGGTGTTCCACTTGTTTATATGCTGCTTCCAATGCCTAGCTATGATGCTAGTAATATCTTAATATCAATTGCAAGTTTTCATTTAGCTACAAACAATAGCTGACTGTCACGATATATTACTAGTACTGTGCCTAGTACCATGGTGTGGTGCGCAAGGTGTTGAAAACCCACATAGAATCTAGAATAGTTTATAATTTCTAGTTACATTATTCCATTTTACCTCGTTCGGCAAGTATCAGGGAAAGAAATTCAAAATTTTGTAGCCATGAAATCTTACTGTAGTACTTTAGGCAGAAGTTTTACAGTAACTTTTCTATAGTTCTTAAGAAAAAATCATGAACAATTCTGGCAATGAAACATATCACACAGTGTAAGTGCGCCATCTATAGTTGTATGCTGTTCATTACTTTGTTTTTTTGTCAATAGAGGTCACACTTACTTCAGTTTTGTAAATCTGCCAAAATTTAATTAAGTCTTATTTTTACATATTAACAATGTTAACGGATGTAATACTATATATGGTTTGTTTTGTTTTATTTTATCTCACTACTGAGATGGTTATATCGGTGTGGTTTGTGCAATATATTTTTATTATAGATACTTCACAAAATTTGTAAATTTCAACAAATAATTTATCTATTTTTCAACTGCATGTACAAGGTGTTCACTATCCAGATAATTCAATTTTTTCTGAGGAAACAAATTCTACAAGTCTGCTAGCCAGGATAATTTGTTTTTTTCTACTGAAACATTTTTGTTTTTCAATCCAGGTCTGCCAGAATTGAATAACATTTTTTTTTCCAGAAATTATTTATGTATTCATGTTGTGCAGGTATTAATACAAATGTTTTGTGATGTAAAAATTATATCAAAAATATGATTCAAAACATGTTGTTGTAGCAACTGTTTGTGTTATATTAATTCTATTTTTAATTCTCGTCTACGCTAAAACTGTAAGGAAACTCTGAGGAAATAATGAGGAATAAAATATTTTCAGAAAAGATAAAATATATATTTAGATAAAGCTTTATTATTCATATTTATGAAGCTGTGTTGGTGGTTATGAATGGGTGAAGGGATCGTTATGAATAAAACATTGTATGCAAATTGGTTTTTGTTTGGTCATTTATAGCAGTGGGACCCTTTGATTGTGTCTTCATCCTGCAAGCCCTATTTTAACATTGACTTGACCAGATAAGGGTTAAACTGAAATTACTCTTGTCTCACAGATGTATCTAAACCCTGATACCCGACTACATTGGTCAGGTTAAACTAGCATGATTGGTAGAGTGTGCATTTTTCAAATGAAGAGAAATTGAATCTGCACATCTTTGTGTTTACAGCACATACTGCTACACCCCTAATGTATGTGTTGCCTGGTTTGGAGACTTTTTGACTTTTGTGTATTGGTAGTCTTGATGGTTATCGTGTGTGTGTGTCTGTTCGACTGATACCTCAAGAAAACTTGGTACATAGATGTTCCAGGAAGTATGTACTTCATGTCTCCAATACCCCCTAGCACATGGGAGTTCTTTCTAAGCTTTATTTGTTTTCTTTTATTTATTGTAGTACATTTTTTTTCATATTTCTTTTTACCACCTCTTTTCATCATAAAATAGTCCCATTCATAGTTTGAACTTTCCTTCAGAAGATTGGGACAAAAATAGCCAAATTTTTGGAGTAAAAACTGAAAATTAACTCAAATTTGTTCTGTTAGCTCCAAAATTAGGATTCATTTCCAGAAATATTGAAGAATATAAGAAAAAAAGTGCAGAAAAATTTGGACAAAAAGTCTATACATGCCATGTCACATTGCTACAAATTTACAGTAATCCTATTTGATTTCACAAGGAAATTAAGTCCAATTTTACGTGAAAAACACAGCTTGTGCCCTTTTTTTGGAGAGACAACAGTGAATAGTAAAAGTATTTGGAAACTATTGTGGCATAAGAATTTTATTGATTTCAAAGTTCAGCATAATTATTTCTTTATTCCACATTACAAGCTACTAGGTGGGAATTTGATACTGTTGATGGGAATATTAGTACATCATGATAGCATTATGTTGTGGCACAAAATTGTAGCTCCATGGATGTGATGTTGGTACTGCTTAGTACATGTCAAACAACGCTATGTCCATTTCAATTGATGTACACTTGCTGAGTAATGTCAAAGAAAATTACGTCACTTAAGTTCACAGAATGTGTCATCACCACTGATGTCACAAAAAACAGCATTATCTTGGAGGGTCATAGAAAATCATCTGATCCTTAGGGGGTCACAGGAAATTACATCATCATGTGTGAAGTAACAGGAATTTACATCACATTTAGTTCATTGAATGTGACATCACCATTGATAGCATCATCATCTCCATGTCACAAGAAATGACATCATCTTGGAGGATCATAGAAAATGACCTGATCCTTAGGGGGGCACAGGAAATTACATCATTATGTGTGAGGAAACAGGAAATGACATCATGTTTGGCTTACTGGAAATATCCTTGAGTAAAAATGTCCACACATTTCAATATTGTGATGCAGCACTGAGTGTAATAATTTGGTGTACTTCGCATCAACTGAAATAAAACAAAAATTCACTCAATAAAAAATTTGGATTGACAACATAAGATGATGGTATCCCATAATTCCTTGGTGCAGTCCCAGGGATTGGTAGCCATTCCTTTAAAAACAGTAAAAGTACTCACCAGCTTCAAACACTCTTGATCTTCTACCATATTTGTCCTTTGTGAGGTAACAATCCTCTGCTGGAGGATTTTCCTAAAAAAAAAATCAAATATCGCACTATTTATGTTTCTGTTCAATTTTTTGATCATAATTTTTTTTAATCATTAAATTTGAACCAACTGGACATCATTTTTTATTACAATTCTTGAACAAGAAATTTAACGAGATGATGTGGGTTTATTTGGTTGGAAAGTTGACTTTGACTTTCAATGATTGAAAAGATTTTGATTGTTCCCTTCAAGCATAGCTGTCACTAACAAGTATACAATATTGAAATTTTAAAAGCAGTACCAATTTATATCTTAACTGTCAACTTTGTCAAGCAGAGTTTATCATATGAGTGATTGTTTGTCTTCGTCCACATCAACTTTTTACTAAAAAGTGATATTTTCAACTCCTTGTTGAAAACTGTAATTCTGATCACTTTAATATTATACATATAGGTACTACATGTAGACCTCTCTCTGATTTATTCATTTTGTGATGATATATCAATTCTCTAATTGGAAACGTGCATTGCTATCTCAGCCGAGAAACTGCTTGTTATATTTTGCTGAGCGAATCAAATTAATGAAAAAGAGCAAATACCCCCGGTAATAACTGAAGTACCAAAACTTGCTTCCATGGAAACATTGACTGTGATTTTCCCACAGCATTAAAGCGGGGGAGTCGCATGCGTCAGATGGCCATAGCGTGTCATTGTTTACAAACAAGCGTCTACCCATGAGCCTTTGCGTTTCTAGCGTGTGTTGTTATCGTCGCTTGGGATTAAATTCCTGCGTGTGCAAAGGTGACGACACTCCAGCTTTAAGCACTAGATTCATTCATAACACTAGGTTTGCTTAGCCCAAATTTTAGCTTCGGATTTTCAAATAGTCAGTCACGGCAATAACTTGAAATTCTTGCATCAAAAGTGTGTGTGTTTTCACTGGTAAACATAAATGAAGAAAAGTACAGTAGGGGGCAAGCATTATTACTAGGTTTAGCATCTACCATACAAACTCATTCATTGACAAGTAATTCTAATTCAATGGTGGTAGCAAAAATAATTGTTGTTTTTCAAGCACACAAATTATTAGCACACAAATGAAAATTGTTTCTTTTTTTCTTGTTCAACAGTAAATACTCACTTTCATAAATGTCCATATGTTCATAAGTAATAGAAACACTTCATATGGAGTGAGCATGTAAAACAATTCACATACTAAGCCAAGTGACGGCGGTAAAAAATCAGCCTGAAACAAATAATAGTTAGTAATTAAAAATAACCATGAAATGCACAAACTCACTAAGGGTTACTCAGAAGTTGTAAAGGAGAAGTCTGGGAAAACAACATAATGCTGCCGGATGAAAGATTTTCCGATTTGTAGGAGAATGCAAATTCATGCAGTATTTTTATAACAATTTTTATTCTCTAAGTATTCAACTTTCCACCATCTTGAATCTCCAGCAAAGAATTATGAGAAAAGTATGACATCAAAGTCACTGTGTTGTAAAAAATTGATGAAAATGATTGCAACAACAACTTGTGAATGAGTAATATTGTTGCAAATTAGTTCAACTCGGTATGTGTAGTATTTCTTTAAGTAACTCACCAATGCCATACAATGCACAAGTTCACTTGATATGTGCAGTTTTTTTGGTGACAGACTGGATTTTTTCTCTCGATTTGCTTCCCAGTAATTTATTAAAGTAGCTAATAAACCATAGACTAACACTGTACATTTACATAGTATTGGTTTAGCTGAAAAGAAATAAAAACAAAACAAGATTTAACAAGTTCACCATTCTACAATGATAACTGTTTTTTTTTTCCAATGGAAAACTTTGCACTTCAATATATATCGCATTAGTTGGGCTAACACAATTATTTATAGTATGTAATATTTGTTCATACGCAAAACACAATAAACCCACATGCAAGACACATGGCACCCACATGCAAGACACGTATGGTACCCACATGCAAGACACATGACACTCATATATAAGACATATGACACCCACGTGTAAGACACATAGCACCCACATGCAAGACACATGGTACCCACATGCAAGACACATGGCACCCACATGCAAGACACATGGCACCCACATGCAAGACACATGGCACCCACATGCAAGACACGTATGGTACCCACATGCAAGACACATGGCACCTACATGCAAGACACATAGCACCCACATGCAAGACACATGGCACCCACGTGCAAGACACATGACATATGACACCCATGTGTAAGACACATAGCACCCACATGCAAGACACATGGCACCCACATGCAAGACACATAGCACCCACATGCAAGACACATAGCACCCACATGCAAGACACATGGCACCCACATGCAAGACACATGGCACCCACATGCAAGACACATGCAAGACACAGCAATATTTATTCATTTTTTATTTCATGCATACCTGACTGTGTTTTAGGAATGAAAAAACAAATAGTCTCAGTGTAGAGGGAATACTGCCCACAAGCTAGTCTTGTGTCTAGATACATATCAAATAAATAGAAATTGTTATTTACCTTTAGCAATAATTTTCAAAATATGCATTAAAATTGGATTATCCTCAAAACTTCTCTTGATATGTAAATCTCTGTCATGAAATAAACATAGATTAAATAAACAATAGACATTGATTGCAACTATAGAGATCAATATACAATGTATGTCTGAGGAGTACGTCCATTAAAATGCAAATTCACTGCAAACTTGGCAATTGGATTTTTAAAAATGCAGAGAAGGGGCATTGATATTGTGTCTGTGGGTCTCCGTTAGTAATGTTTGCTGTTGGACCTTGGTGTATTTTGCATCACAATACTGGGTACAATTTGGAGTTATAAACTAGAGATTAAAGAAAATGAGAGAGTAAAAAATATCAAAATTGTTGAGAATTGGCAAGTACATATGTATGTAGAGAAGCAGCACATGACAGTTTCATATAGAACAGACTTAATGCTACTATTTTGACAATCTGGTTTGTGAACACACTCTATGTTGATTTTTGCAGCACATCTTTGCCCCACCCTTCTGTGTCAGTTAGTTGAAGGTATAAATGGCAATATTGATGTTACCTTTCTACTGTATATTTCATGAATTCTTCGTCTGGCCATATTACACCAGCATGCGTTACATCAGGACAGATTGAATCAACTAATAACTCAGCCATGGTTGTAGCAGATGACTCTGATATTTCTCCATCTACACATCTGTCATCACAACCACACAAATATAAAACATCTAACACAGACTGGATATTCTGCATCAATCTTGGCTGTTTTGAGAGAGAAGCAATAAACACAATAATGCTTATATGGAAATGATTTAAAAATATATGCAAGGCAACCACATGCAAGACACATGTCACCCACATGCAAGACACATGACACCCACATGCAAGACACATGCAAGACACAAGTCACCCACATGCAAGACACAAGTCACCCACATGCAAGACACAAGTCAAGTCACAATAATTGCTTTTCATATCTCACCTGTGGTGGGATTTTATTCACTACTTTGGGTTTCAATCCTTGACCAATGATGCCAGCATGGAATACAGTGGAAGCTGTAGCAGGCAATGTCACAGACAATGCATGCTTTTCATTCTCTTTCTGCAATGATACCTTGGGTTCAGGTACCTTCATGGTCAGCTCATTCGCATCTAACTTTCCTCCAAACAGGAAACCATTCCCCTACAAGGCATGCAAATAAAAGTATCATCAATAATAAAAAAATGAATGAATGTGTTGAACATAAATGTTCAAATCTGCTAGGCATGATTTATAAGCATCAGATAACTAATCAACCGTGGTCTATACTGTACCTTGTTCATGATGCTCTGTATTATAAATTGGATAACTAATCCATCGTGGTCTATACTGTACCTTGTTCATGATGCTCTGTATTATAAATTGGATAACTAATCCATCGTGGTCTATACTGTACCTTGTTCATGATGCACTGTATTATAAATTGGATAACTAATCCACTGTGGTCTATACTGTACCTTGTTCATGATGCACTGTATTAAACATTGGATAACTAATCCACCATGGTCTATACTGTACCTTGTTCATGATGCACTGTATTAAACATTGGATAACTAATCCACCGTGGTCTATACTGTACCTTGTTCATGATGCTCTGTATTATAAATTGGATAACTAATCCATCGTGGTCTATACTGTACCTTGTTCATGATGCATTGTATTATAAATGGGATAACTAATCCACCGTGGTCTATACTGTACCTTGTTCATGATGCACTGTATTATAAATTGGATAACTAATCCATCCACTGTGGTCTATACTGTACCTTGTTCATGATGCACTGTATTAAACATTGGATAACTAATCCACCGTGGTCTATACTGTACCTTGTTCATGATACTCTGTATTATAAATGGGATAACTAATTCACTGTTGTCAATACTGTACCTTGTTCATGATACTCTGTATTATAAATTGGATAACTAATTCACTGTGGTCTATACTGTACCTTGTTCATGATACTCTGTATTATAAATTGGATAACTAATCCACTGTGGCCAATACTGTACCTTGTTCATGATGCTCTGTATTATAAATTGGATAACTAATCCACCGTGGGCTATACTGTGCCTTGTTCACGATGCCCTGTATTATAAATTGGATAACTAATTCACTGTGGTCTATACTGTACCTTGTTCATGATACTCTGTATTATAAATGGGATAACTAATCCACTGTTGTCTATACTGTACCTTGTTCATGATGCTCTGTATTATAAAC